GTTCCTTTGCAGTTCCTTGCCTTCCACAGAGGGCATCTCCAGAATGTTGGGTTTCCGTCCCAGTGCCCCAAGTGCGTGGCTGTGTTTTCACTGACTATGCTGGAAGTCTCTTTTGTTAATCACTGAAGCACAGCATCATTAGTGAGAAGTGCAGAGTGTACACAAAGAGGAACTCGCCAAATTACTAATAAGCAGAAACTCCATCCATCTTAATGAGACAGGGTTAAGAAAATAGCAACCTAGAATATACACAATGGAGCCTTTCCAATCTGCTTATTTACTCTTGTTAGAAAGTACCTCTGAACTCCATCTCTGGTGCAGCTTGGAGATTATCACATGGTTTCCAAACCACGGGCATCTTACGGTCTTGCAAATAATTTAGCATGAGAAGGATAGATAAATAAGTGGACAGATGGCTCAAAAATTTTTAGAGGGAAGAGGGCAGATAGGATTGCTGAAGAGCAAGAAGTATGAGATATCTCCTCATGGTGGGCTAGTCTCCTGCCCCCTTCCTTTGGGGTCCTCACAAAAGCAGCTGAGGTTCCCACATTCTCAGGCAGCATGGGGCCACTCTTGGGCCAAGACTTCCACCACGCCAGCCCAGCAGTGTGATTTAAACCTCCCCAGTGACTTGCAGCACTTCCCCAGGTTACTCTGGCAACGCAGAAGGGGTTTGCACCCACACCAACATGCCTGCACACCTGCGCTTCCCAGCCACATTTTTCTTTTGTTGGGTAAGGAATGACTTGCCTTTCACACATGCAGCTTGGCTGCTGCTGTTTTATTGAACACCAGCACTTGCTGTATGTTATTCAGGCAAACTTTATATATGTCACAGACCCTCTCAGCAGCCTGCACCTGGTCCAGGGCAAAGCTGAGCCTTGTGGAGAAGAATGTGCTGTAATGCAGCAAGTTATTACAGGATAAATATTTATAAGCCCCTGTAAACATTTGCCATCAGTTCCCTCCTGAGACTAAGGGCAGACAGTCAAGAGTTTCAGCAGTCCTGACGACATTAGCTCTTGTAGTCCTTTATATGTTAGTCTGTAAACCTGTTGTTGGTCATGTATAGTTATAGCATTTATTGGTGCTAATTTCACACAAACAGGAGACATTGGCTGGAATTGTTGTGTACCTTGATCCCGGCCCTGCTGCCAGCCAGCTTTTGGTGAAGGTGTCTCCTGCAGCCCCAGGGGCAGTGGGCACCTGGCTGAGGCATCAGACCAGGTCCCCAGAGCTGCAAAACCTCCCTGTGCAGATTCCCTTATCATGGGGCGAGGGAGTGTTCCTGGCTGCATCAGTGTTATTGGAGTATTGGAACAATCTGCTAAGAAAACCAGAAAACAAACATGGCAAAACCAACATCCTCCTTGGGCTCTGACCCTTGGGCAGGGGCTATCAGCTCTCAGTGGGCTGAGGGGGGTCTAATCTAAAGCAAATATTCCCTTGGAGCGTCCAGCAGGAGCTGCCCTGCTGCAGGGGTGGCATGGTGGGCTCTCCATGTAGGGCCATGGTAGGTGGGCTGCCTCTGCTGGTGCATCTCATCTGCCCCCAGAGAGGGGGCATGGGCACCAAGGGACAGTGTGAGTCCTGGGACAGGGACTGTAGGGACCTGTGGCCAGCTTGTCTCATCTCTCCCGTCACTGCTGCTTCTGCTGGGGCTAAGACAGGGCTAATGTAGTGGTGGGAAACTGGAAAAGAAATGCCAGGGCAGGCAAGGCCGTGACTCCTCCATGCCCTCAAGTGCAGGAGTAAAACAATGAGCCCTGGGCAATAGCGCTTGTTGCATGGGAGTATTTGGGGGCTCCACTTTGCTGCTCATGCACGAAAGCCAGTCATTTGGCAAAAATCAGCTCAGTTAGCAGGCTTTGTTCATAAAGAGCCAGGGCCTGAATGGATTCAGGGCTAATATATTCTATTATCCCATGCCTGCCTGTTTCCCCAGTGCAGCATGCAGGGAAAGGTGCATTCCAGCACCAGGTGGCCAGGGCAGAGTGTGCCCAGTGTGGGCAGGGAGCATGGGACAGGTGGGGGAACATTGCTGCCAGCAGCATGGTGACATGTCACCTGCCACCTGCCCAGTCACCACTGAGCAGCCACCAGAGGTAGACATGGAGCAGAGTGGGATGCTGAGCTGCAGATGAGGGCAGTGCCTGGTCCTGCAGGCTGCTGGGATGAACAATGGAGCCAGGAATAGCCATGGTTAATTGGACTGGGCTTTTCACAGGGCAGGAGAGGTCTTGGGACAACCAGAATGGTGTATGGTGCAAAGCATCTCATTATCCAATAAGAAAATGTCAGTCCCTGTGGGAAACACAACAATAAATGGCTATGACATTAGAGACAAGGCAGAGATTTAAGAAGCAGTGGGCGACATAATTATGAAGGGAAATGGCTGTGCAGGCTTCACTCAGAAAAGTACATCTGCAGTCTGGAAGAGGTCTGCTGGAAGAGCAGCCCTTCTTGGGGAGCTGCTCTCTAAGAGGTCTTATGTCGTGTATTAAACAATTTAGTGGCCCTAGACCAGAGTTCACATTTTCACTTGGTTTGGGTTTTTTCCTCCTTCTCCCTGGTTTCTTATATTTTTTAAATAAAAAATGTTTTGCCAGCAATTGTATTTGCTGGTCAATTGTATTTCAGTTTACAATTTACTCTTGGATTCCCATTCAGGTGCTGTTGGCATGAATGTGGATATCAGCCACAGAAGAGAGAAGGGAGCCAGCAAAGACCTTCCCTGGGCCAAGCTCAGGAACTGTACGGACCATGCATGTGTACAGACCAAGATTAGCAGCCAAGGCATGCTGAATTGTAGCTTTCCTGCTTGGATCAAGAGCCATGAACTGTGGCAGGCTCAGCAGCTACTATTCAGTGTGTCAGGGCTGCAGTGAAACCCACTAATCAGTGTGGGATGCTCCAGGGCACATATCCCTGGGGTGACCATGACAGAACATTTACCTGGTACTACGTGGTATTTGCTGACCTGCAGATAGCTGGAACCCTGACTGTTGTTTTATTCCAGTTTTATTGCTGTTGCCTTTGGAGAGATCTCCAAGTTTTGAACAAGAGTTTCTCAAGTCCTCACCTTGCCTGCCTACCTATTACATTCCTATGGCATGCCTCAGCCTGGAACAGAAGGATCATAGCAGTGCCAAAGTCAAATGCACCCATTGCTGCTCTCCAAATAGAGAGGCTCTGAGACTTTCCTATGATCTTGCCATGGAGAATGGAGAGGCACCGGCACAGTTTGGTTCCCAAACAGAGACTTGTGCCCATGGATGTAACACCTGGATGCAAATCAGGATGCCTGAATAAATCTTAGAGCAGATCAGTGCCCTGTTCCACATTACACCTGTTTCCTGGGACACAGCACTGTTTTCTAAATTCTCAGAATGGGATGTTCCAGTGTTTCTAAACTAGTTTCGGCAAAAGCAGATTCCATACTATCAGAATTTCTCAAGGAATGAGAAGTCAATTTTGCAGCTATTTCTTGGTACAAACAGTGATCACTGCTTTGCCACGATTTCCTGAGCCCAAGTAGCAGGAGAGGGCCTGCTCCACCGCCTCTTTCAATTCCCAGGTCCCCTATTTACTGCTAAATTGTTCACTTCATTAGTGGTGCTAACTGGCTGTTGTTCTCTTCTGCTGGCCCTCAGGTCAAAGTGGCTCTTTCAGGCTTCCAGGCTGCAGAGCCTCTTCCATTTACCTCTCAATGAGGGGTAGTTCCTGTTTTAAGTAGTACAAGTTGTTTGAGCAGAAGGCAGCAGGAAGAAGGGGAGCTTTGGAGGATTCTAGAGGAGGGAGCTCAGGAGAGCTCCCTAGGACAGGGACCTGTAGACACACGAGGGCAGAGCTGCTTAATGGCCAGATGTTGTGCACAAGAACCAAGCCAGCTTCTTCTGCCTGGCCTGCACCAAGGGGCACCCGGCTTGGCGGCTGCCACACGTCTGTGCTGGCTCCTGGGCGGCCCCACGGCCTCTGTCCTGCACGGACACAGCTCCTGGCCTCGGAGGGCAGCAAGTGCTTGCAAGGCCTGAGGAGCAGAGCGGAGTAAGGGTGGCGAGGGCCTGGTGCTGCTGGAGGAACAGGGAATGCAGCTCCTGCTCCTCCAGTGCATCTGGAACAGGGTACCCAAATGCGATACCACTTTGCTGAACAGACCCCCTTTCTCCTGCCTTTTGTTTGGTTGCTATTGTTTTTCTTTCTTTCAATGTCATGGTTTCTGTTGGAATTTGCCAACTGGGAAATGAACTCTGCACGGTCCAGTCCGGGCTCACAGAAATATCTGCAACCTTTGAACGGCCGCTCAGGAGCGCCGGGACCTCCCAGAGCCGCCCCGGCTTCAGAGACCGGGAACGGCTCCGGGGGATCCGGGCCGCCCGCCGGGGACGCAGCCGAGCGATGCTAGGAGGCGAGCTGAGGCGGCCCGCCCGGGGGAGGTCTCTCGGTACCCCGCGCTCCCCCCGCTGCACTCCATGGGGCCAGGCCCCACGGGCCCTCAGCGCAGCAGGGCCGGGCCCCGCGGGCCCTCACCGGGGCAGGTGACGCCGGGCCCCACGGGCCCTCAGTGCCGCAGGGCCGGGCCCCGCGGGCCCTCACCGGGGCAGGTGACGCCGGGCCGGGCAGGGCTGCGGGGCCGTCGGGGCCGCGCTGGGCGGGGCGGGGCGGGGCCGCGCTGGGCGGGGCGGGGCGGGATTGGCTCCTGCGCCACTGATTGACAGCTGCGGGCGAGCGCGCGGCGGGCGGCTGCGCGCTGATTGGCTGCCGCGGGCTCACAAACCCGCGGCGCGGCCGGAGCGCGGCTAGAGCGGGGCCGGGGTCGGGGCGGCGGGAGCGCGGCGGGAGCGCGGCGTCCTCCGGGGCTCTGAGGGGAGCGGGTAGGGGCAGCGGAGGGGCCGTCGGTGGGGGTGCGAGGAGGGTCCCCGGGGGCGGCCGCCGGCAGCGGGCGCCCGGCGAGTCGCGGCGTGAGGTGCTGTCGGGGCCACCGTCGGCGGGTCGCAGCGATGGGCAGCGTGGGGGGGCCCGGTGGAGCCCTGCGGGTGCTGGTGTCGGTGGCCGCCGGACTGCTGGCCTGCGGCGTGGCCAGCGAGTACGACTATGTCAGCTACCAGTCAGACCTGGGCCCTTACCCTGGCGGGCGCTTCTACGCCAAACCCCACCAGTGCGTGGCCATCCCTGCCGACCTGCGGCTTTGCCACAGCGTGGGCTACGACAAGATGGTGCTGCCCAACCTGCTGGACCACGAGACCATGGCCGAAGTGAAGCACCAGGCCAGCAGCTGGGTGCCACTGCTCAACAAGAATTGCCACATGGGCACCCAGGTCTTCCTCTGCTCCCTCTTTGCCCCCGTGTGCCTGGACCGGCCGGTCTACCCCTGCCGCTGGCTCTGCGAGGCCGTGCGTGACTCCTGTGAGCCTGTCATGCAGTTCTTTGGCTTCTTCTGGCCAGACATGCTCAAGTGCGACCAGTTTCCCCAGGATGATGTCTGCATTGCTATGACAGCTCCCAATGCCACCGAGGTCTCCAGGCCCAAAGGTAAGGCATGGCTTGTGCTGCAGCCCTGCTCCTGGCACTCCTCTCTGAGCTGACAGGCCAGGTGTTAGCCCAGAAGGGGCCACATGGGACTGAAGGGGTTCTTGTGGCAGGAGGAGGCTCATTTGAACTCTTGTTGGCAGCGGCCCTCCTCTGGCCTCTGAGCACTCACTCTCTGTGCCTTCCTGTCCTAAGGTAGGTGGGATGCCTTGCCAGCTCCTCATCCCCATCGCAGAGCCTTGGGACAGGCTGTTTGGGACATGTGGGGTTGTGCCTGTTCTGATACCTGCACGGGCTCCAGCCCTGATGGACCAAAGTGTGACCCTCTGTGCTCAGATACTGCACTGTCCTGGTTCTGCTCCCGAGCCAGACTCCTGCAGGGCTGCTCTGGGCAGCAGGAGGATGTATGCCATGGCAGAAAGTGCTGGCTGACTGAAGCCAACTGTGACCGTAGTCCTGGCAGGATCCCCCATGTCCAGTGCAGTCCTAGGGAAGAGTCTGGGCAGCTGGTGCCTGGGCGTGCAGTGGAGATCCAGCTCTGCCCTCGGGTGGGCTGGAGAAGGAGCAAGAAACCTGCCCAGAAACGACTAGGGAAAGTGAACGTGGTTCGTGTTTGTTTCCATTGCATGCAGCACGTTTCTGTGGTGCCAGACTGGCTTGTTCAAGTTGCAGTGACTCTGGCTTGTTGCTGGAAACTTGAAAATAAATAAATATCCTGGTGTCACTTCAGTGTTTGCTATTGGAACACTGTGAAAGGCTGGCAGGAGGAATGTTTGTAGAGGGAGATGGCAGGGGGCTCTAGGAGACTGCAGTGCTTTTTGGCCAGCAGAGCCTCATCGGAAGGAATTGTCACTCCTGATGGCACGGGGGCATAGTGCCGGCTCTCGGGAGGAGCTCAGGGCTGGGGGTTGAGTGGTTTCTGTGGCTTCTGCGCTGTGTCAGAGCTCGTCTGCAGGGACTTGTACAGACAAAGGCTGTATGTGGTGCTCGACTGGGAGAAGTAACCCAGCCGGCGGGGACTGTGCAGTGTCATCCTGCCCATCTTGAAAGGACTCGTACTTCAGGGAGCCCTTCTGATAGAGGACAGGAACAACGGAGTGCATCCTGCAGCAGAGGGGTGACTCCCTGAGGAGTCTCTAGAAGCTGTGCTGGGTGTGCGGAGGGCAGTGCAGAGCCCTGGCACAGTGACTGTGACACGGCAGGCAGAGGAGCACCCCCGAACTCCGTACCCAGAGGAGCTGTACATGAGGGCCCATGGCACATCTTGGAAATGACATCCAGAGGCAGGTGGAATGTGAAGCTCGTGCCAGTGCGGGGTGGGGTGTCAGGGGGCTGAGCTCTGGCTGATCTCATTGCCAGGGACTCAGCCTTTCCCCACAGTGATGGCAGCACAGACATACTGGCTTCCTTGTCATGGCTTGCCGTTACTGATGTGACTGCTGGAAAACATCGTTGTTTTCCAGGAATGCTCTAAATTAATATGTCTTATATGAACCTGGACCCTTGGTCAAGACCGCAGCCGTGTTCTGTGTTGCAGGTACAAAGGTTGCTTCTCCCCAGGGACTTTCAGCCAAGCATGCTCCTGGGACAGCTGGATCTGAGCTGGCCCTTCCAGGGTCTGTAATAGTCTGGGCTGTGTGCAGGTAATTCATTTTACAGACATTAATGAGCCAAGACCTGGGAACAGGCTTCTAAATGAGCAGCACCTGCCAGGTTTTCCATTGAGTAGTTTAGCAACTTTACCTTTCTGACCTGTCTTGAAGGCAGCACTGGGGTTGGGACACTACTGCTTCCTTGTGATGCCTCAGTTTGGGGTGGAAAAAGCAAAGTTAATTGCAACCATTGCTGTGATGTGAACCAGCACTGCAGAATCTCCTGTGTGCCACAGAGTATCTGTTTATGGCCCGTGAGGCACCCATTGCTTCAGCTCTGGTACTACCACTTCCTGCAGATGTCGAGTCATCCTAGGTGACCTGCAGCTCAGTCCTTGTGCCTGTGCTGGCTGGTACTTTCATCTGCCTGGGTTCTACTATGTGCACCCTGGCCATGGTTTGTCTGTGTTTTCTGTCAACACCAGCTCCTGGAGCCCCTTTGCTCTTGGGCACAGAGGTGTTTTCTGTTGATTCAAAGAGGGTCAGAACCAAGCAGTGTCCCCACTTTTCTCTTGGTACTAATAAGAACAAACCCTTTCAGTATTTTTTCCCCATTAACACCTTGAAATTGGAATTTGTTTCTGCCTCTCTAAGAGCTGACCTGCTGAATTCCTTTCTCCTTAAGCACAGGCAGTAAAGCCTGCAGGCCCACAGGATGCATCAGGGGAGTTGCAGATTAATACAGCATTACACATTCCTTCTCTTGCCCCTGGAGTAAGCTGGCTCTACAGCCAGGCATTGGAAAATGGTCAGCAGGGAACAAGTGAGCTGGAGGCAGGCTGAGATTGTGCTTGGAGCTGAGCTGTCAGCTGCATCAGATGGGCCCCAGCCAACCTGCACTGGACCCAGAGGATGGGCTGGAAATGTCTGCTGTAATGCCTCAGGACAGATGGGAGGACTTGCAGTTTTGGGGTAGCTGTGGCTCCACAGAACAGCAACTTTCCTGAAGGCACAGAGCTGTGCAGGAGCTGGCTGGGCCCCCAGCATTTGTGTTCCTGACTGTAGTGTGATGTGGTGACCCAGAGCAGAGGACAATTTTCCTTCCCATTGTCAGGAGACAGTGTCTCCTGCAGTCCTGTTGTGCTGTAAAAGAGCTGCAGGAGGCAGAACTGGAGGATGGGTTGATTTAGGTTGGATATAAAGGGGAAGTTTTTTGCAGTGAGGGTTGTAAAACACTGGCACAGGTTACCTAGAAACATGGTGGATGCCCTGTCCTTGCAAACATTCATGGTCAGGTGAGACTCTGAGCAACCTGCTCAAGTTAGGGAAGGGGGATTGTGCACAAGTGAAGCTGCTGTCTGTGGAAGGGACTACCCAGGGGCTCCCAGGTCCAGCCCACAGATGGCTGCTGCCTCTGGGCCCTGGTGCAGCAAGGCAGGGGTCTCCGCCACCTTGGGCGTGTTACAGCCTGTTCAGGGGCTACTGGAACACAGCTAGAACAAAGCCTGTATTTGCAACAGGGAACAATGAGTCTTATTTTCCATTTTTGTTTGCTTTTTCTTTTTTCTATTTTAATTGGTTGCCTGGAAAGCTCATAGAGTGGATGCTGCAGTGGCTTTCACATTTGTCTGGCTGGTGTAGGCTTGGCTGCCCTCCTCATGTGCACTTCGGCTGCTGAGGCAGATTGAAGTACTTGGCATGGCAGGTACCCCCTGCTTATTTCTGACAGTGGTCCCCAGCACAGTGAGGAACTCCTGGCTCTGCAGCAGATGGACAGCTGGGCCTGTGTCACCTTCCTATGAGCACCCTCTCTCCCTTGTCATGAGCTCATTAAATGTGCAGCCTGGAAACAAAAATTCTGACTGCTGATTTTAAAAATCAAGTGTTAAGAGATGTCATCGTATCTCCAAAGGCTGGCTTCTGAGTGAGATGGTGATAGTGGCAGTTGTACGTTAGGGTTCTGGAAGAGGTTACCTGGGTGATGGACAGCTCTCAGGGATACAGAGAGTGGGGAGGTGGATGTTGGTGCTGTGAAGGCTGACTTGTGACTTGCACATCGGAGGAGCGAAAGGCCAGTTGCTCTGCAAGTGTGATTAATAAAGTCATGGCGCATGTCCCCAGGAATTAGCATTTGGCACAGAAGAGATTTGGGGGTGGTGACAGGGAAAGAACAAGCCACAGAAAACGAATGTCTGGCCTGAATCCCTGTGGGGCATCTGTGGCCAAGGAGACACGACACCATGGTCGTGGCTGTGCCTCTCTTGCCAGCAGTTCTGGCTCTGCACCTCTCTTCTGGACACCTCTCTGTTTTTTTGGTTCAGCAACGCTGCGGATTTGCTGGCCTGGCTGAGGGCTGGAAGGCCATGAGTGCTCTGTTTACATGCTGGGACTGGCAGATGTTTTGCTGCAGTGTTGTCCCTGAGAATAACTCCCTTGTGTGGGAAGAGCCCTCCATCTTGCTGGACCAGGAACAAGCAACATCTCCCAGCTCAATAAATTAATCTGCCAGTAGCTCAAGTCTACATCTCTGCTGCTGGGTGGTCTGTCCCAACTGCAGACAGGAACCTGAAACAGATTCTTACTCTCTGGGTGAAGTGAGCTTTGCTCCCAGATCCCAGTGAAATTCCCATGGCTGGCATTTCCCGAGAGGCAGATGTTGGCTACTGCAAGTGACTGACAAGCAGAGGTGGCTCTGCTCTGCTGGAGCCATGAGGCTGCCCTGGACTCAAAAGAGCATGACCGCTGTTGGTGGTGGCAGCATCCACAAGAGCTGTGCTGGTCCATCTCCAGCCAGTGCAGCTCTGGGACAGGGCAGGAGGGAGGGTGGTGAGGGGCTTCCTGAGCAATGCCTGGGCAGTCTGTGGGATGGTCCCCAGGGCTGAGAGGAACGTGGTACTGAGCTGAGCTGTCCCTGTCCTGAACCCCCTTGCCTGGCACCAGGGTAGCACCTTGGCACTTGAGCTATCTCTGGGCAGCATCCTCCTGCTGTGCTGGGGTTCAGGCATTGTATGCCTGCCTTGGCATGCCATGGGGAGGGAATGTCAGCAGGCTATGGGCCATGCCCCTTGTCAGGCGGCTCCCCTCAGTTGAATGCCTGGCTCTGAGAGCTCCTCTCTTTGCCAGTGCTGTCCTTTTGCCTTTAGCAGCTGCCTGTGTCTGGCCTTGGGCCCACTGACAGCATTGGAGTGGGGCTGGCAGAAGGTTGCCTGTGGCCAGTGCTGCCCTGTGAGCTGGTGGATGGTTCCTTACACCTACTAGGGTGTTGTTGTATGGGACCTGGGAGCCCGTGGCAGGGTGCATGGGCACGGATCCCCCTTGAGGGTGGTGGTCTGACAGCATGGGCAGTCTGGATCTGCGATCCTACTTGTGCTGGCTTCTTGCCGGCTCTCAATTGTCTTCACTTCTTTTCTCTTGCCAGGAACGACTGTGTGTCCCCCTTGTGACAACGAGATGAAGTCGGAGGCCATTGTGGAGCACCTGTGTGCCAGCGAGTTTGGTAAGAAGGAGCACTCTGGGCACAGGGAGGCTCTCCTCACAGGGAGGAGTTGGGCATGGGGCAGCATGACTCCTGTGTGGGCTAGAATGGGACTGCCATGTTTGTCTGCCCGCGCTGGTGCTGCTGTGTCCTGCCATCTGTCCCCAAGGCCAGGCACGTGTGCCTCTAGATGTCAGTGTGGGTATGCGGAGGTGGGTGTTAAAAAATGCAAAGCTACTTGAAAGCTTTGTCCTAAATGAGTGAGTGAGTCAGACAATCAGAGGTAAACTGAACTTCATTTAAAAAAAGAAAAGATTATCACAAGGAAATATATTAGCTTTCTCAGATCAAACCCAGAATTAACTGGTTTTGACATCCTTGCTGGTGTATGTAACTTTCCCGGAAGATTATTAAAGGCATATTGAACAAGGTGTGCATTCCTGGGGGATTAGCACTTGAATGTGCCTTGTACTGGAGCGTGCTTATGCAAACCCAAACCTGCTCTGCATGCTGGTGTGTTGCCCTTTCTGCTGGAAATGAATTCTCAACTCTCCTGCAGATTTGGTATGCCAGAAGTCCTAAGTTCAGCACAGGCTTTTTCTAACAGGGAAAAGCATCAACGGGAACACCCCTGTAACAGTTCCTCAGGAATGTGCATACTTCTGGCTTGCTTGGGGAATGGAAGCAGACATTCAATGCATGGCCTGGCTGGGGAGTGGGAGGTGCTGAGTGCTCCAAGTTGGGGTGCTCAGAGCTCTGTTCTGGGCAGGCCATGGGAGCTGAATCAGAGCTGCCCCTGCCTTACTGTGATACACACAGGGAGAGACGGCAGGGAGGGAGGGAGAAGCACACCTGCTTTGGGTAAGAGCTTCCTGCCTGGGCTTGCAGTGATGCAGAGGCATTGCCCCAGTCTGGGGGACCTTCATCCCAGAGAAGGAGCAAGGTGGATCCAGTGCTGGTGGGTCACTGCAATACCCGTCCCCTTGCCAGAGGTGTGCAAGCAGTGATCCGAGAAGAGAAGGGAAATAAAAACTTAACTGCATGCTTGTCATCAGCTTCTGCTGCTAAGTATCCTCTCATGCTCCTCCCATGCTCCCATGGACAGTTATACAACGGGGAGCAGAGGCAAACCAGAAGAATTCCCTGCCTCGGCAGAGCGGCTTGGGACAGTGACTTGCCCACAGTGTAAGTTGTTATTGGGAAAGACAGTGGTGACTGTCCAAAGGATGGAATTATTTCTGAGCAGATGTTGCCTGTCTATAGCCAGCTGGGGAGCAGGAGCACGGGATTCAGTGCTGGTCCTACCTGTGCCCTGAGAGGGAAGGCAGTGTAGGGGTGAGAAGGACGTCTCAGCAGAGGGAGTGGCTAGTGGAGGAAACATTGGCTTCAGGAAGTTTTCCCGAAGCAGAGTGCATGGCCTTTGGATCTTTGTTTAGTCTTGGGAGGTTACTATCATGGGGCAATTTCTCAAGGAAAGCTGTTTATCTGACACTATTATAAACTTCCAAACCTTCAGACTGAGGTTTCTCATGCATGTCCACCAAGGTAAACACTGGCAACTGACAGGTTACAGATCCTCATCAAAGCCAGACATGTACAATAAATGTTTAAACTAACATGTGCTGCATGGGGCAGCTGTTGGTAGGTCTTGCACTGATTCCTGCAGGTTTCTCTTGCATCCAAGCAGCTTGTTACAGAAAAGAGGTGAGGAGCACTTTGCCCACCACAGATGTGTGGCTGTGCCGGTGTAGGAAGTGGCTGTGTAGCAGCCCTGGTGTTGGTCTAGAGTACAGTGCAGGAAGAGAGCAGCAGTGAGCTGTGAACACAAACTGTAAAGACAAGGCAGGAGAATATCTTGGACAAGATGCTGGGGGTCAGAGGGGTGCCAGGAGACTGCCAGCCTCATGGTCCAGCAGAACTTTGGGTTTGCCTTTGTTTGAGGAAGAATGAATGTAGACTCTAGCATGCTGCTTTGACGCAGTTTGGCTGCTCCTCTGAGAGTAAGACAGCTTTGGGGTGGCTGTGAGTGAGGGGTGCCAGAACTCTGGCCTGAGCACAGAGCAGCACGGGGGGCTGGATCAGGTATGTGGGGGTAACTGCAGTGTAGATTTCAGTGTAGTGCTGGTGTGCTGAGACAGCGATGGATGCAAGAGGAAGCATGAGATCGGCCTCCAGTGCCCCCACAGCCACCTCCCCCAGCTGCCCTGGGCTGCAGCCAGCACTTGTTTCTTACTCTGGGAGTTCATTCCACGCTCTGTTTCTCTTAGTGATTTTATTTATTGTTTCTGCCCTTTCTCTGGGGTCTGAGGGGATCCTGCTGAACAGGCTCTGTGGCACTGGGGACTGCAGAACAATCAATACATGCTGTTTATTTTTTCACTGTGACTGACAGGTCCTTGCCTGCAGCCTTCTCCTGTTACAGCCCTAATGTGTCTTCTGGCAGGTTTCTTCCTTCTCAGTGATTTCTAAAGGAAAGAAAAATGAGGCTGAAGGAGCAGTGGAGCTTTCCCTTCTCTCACATTCTCTTTCCTGCACATGAGGTGCTGGAGTGGGGCCCCTTCCCGTGCAGGCAGGAGAACAGCAGAGACAGTAACCTAGTCCCAGGCTGTCCTGTGCTGAAAAAGAGAGCTGGAGGTGCCAGTGGGAACAGGAATGGTGCTTGGTAGTGGGTTGTGAACAGAACACAGGCACTCCTGCTCTCAGCGGGTGACCCCGATACAGCGCCATCCTTGGAAAAGCTTGTGCTGGAAAATGTGGGTGTCCCATGAAAGTAAATGGTAAGAAAGTGGGTGGCATGTTGATCCTGCAGCCCCTTGGGCCACTGTAACGTGTGGAGTGGCAGGGGCCGGTGCTGCTACCAATGCCACAGCTATGCTGAAGTAGCCTGTGGTCACAACGCAGCTGCTGGACTGCAAAGGTGGCACACACTCCTGCTGTGGATAACTCTCCTGGGGCCAGCTCCTGCCTGGCAGCCACAGCTGAATATTTAGTCTGTCTGAGCAAGCATGTCCTGGCATCTCAGAGGCAATTCTGGCCCTTCTCCCACTTGGTGCTGATACAGATTTGGTGCAGCATGGGGGGAGTGGAAAGGCCAAGGTTCCCAGTGAGGAAGCTGTTTGCTTTGGCAGCTCATCTGCATCCTGGAGCCAAGACTCAAAGCATCCCACTCAAGCCTTTTGCCTGCTGCGGCAGCATTCCCAGGGCTGGGGAGACGCCAGGCTGGCTGCTGCAGCCCCGTGGTCCCCCCTTCCAAATGTCATGCTCTAGGAAAGTCAGAAGTTGGAGGCTGCCTCCCACTGTGTGGTGTTGAGCCCTTAGAGTGGGGTGCACACCGGAATGAATGAATGTTCCCTCAGGCACCACTTTCCTGGTGCGCCGTGCAAAAGCTGTATGTCTGGCCTGTCACTATGGAACACTTTCATACCTGGGAACCTTACCTGGAATGTGGGTTGTAACTTAGGGAATGTGGCCCAGTTAAGTGAACAAGAGGAATTTGGGGAGCCAGGTCACTGCAGAGCAATGAGGGCTGAGCAGAGATCATCATGCTTGTGTGACTGCTCAGCCTGCAGCACCAAAGGCTTGGTGATCCCTGAGCAAGGCTGTGTTTACCTGGGCAGCACTGCAGGCTCTTGCTGGTTATGAGGTCACTGCTGCCGGGAAGAACAGAGCCTGACACAAACTGTTTGCACCCTTGGTCAGCCTCTTCCTTCATCCCCCTTGGCATTATCCCATCTTGGCTCTGTGTGCTGCTCTGCACGAGCAAGGTTTGGATGAGGTTTTGGTTTACATCTGGATGTATGGTTCCCCTGGGCAGCTTCCATGAACCTGCATCGCTGGCTCACAAACTGCTGTGTGCAGGGAAGGGAGCAGCTGTGAGCTCCCACAGCACGGGATTAACAAGCCTTCTTTGTCTTCCATGGTGTATGATACTTGGAGTAGATCAGCACCTCCACTAGCTGGCAGATCCTTTTCTTCCTCTAGCAAAAAGGATCAAACTTTGCAGTCATCTCAGCAAAGCAGTTTGCAAACAAGCCATTTTGCAGAAGTCTCTTATTGAGCTGTTGAAATGGTGTTTTGTCGCTAAAGGACACAAAATGATTCACACAAACACTTTCCAATGTTAGAACAAGAAAGAACTAACCTTTATTCTCTGACTCCAGTATTTATAGATTCTCAACAAGGACAAGGGATTGGATAATGAAGTTACCACCTTCCCAAGCACATTGGTCATGTGAAACATCCATCAAAAGACATTTCTTAGAAGGAATGTGATAAGCAACTTATGTTTATAGAACTTGTATGGGAAAGTAACTAAAACTATGAAAACATTATCAGAAGGCTTTAGTTTTCAGGGCGACAGTGTTTTACCATCCTTCCTGCCCTGGCCATCTCTGTGCTTAGTGCAAGGGTTCCAGTCAGCATGAGTAAAGAAAGTGAGGCTGTCATTGAGGAATGTTGCTGCTACTGCTGCCCAGTTGATGTCATGGAGCTTAGAGCTGCTTGAAGACTACTTACTTCATTTTCCAGATTTGTTGCAAACTGATCTAGTTCAGCATCTTTAGCTCCTTAAAGCTGGAGTCTCTTTAGCTCCTGAATTTGAAAAACAGATGGAATGAAAATTTCACTTGGGTTTCCAGACCTAGATTACTTTCTTATACAGTAACAGTGTAACATGACATGGCCCTTGGCAAACCTAGGGAATATTTTTGGCACAGGAGCAGGCAAACACCATTGCTCCTGTTGTCAGGGCAGTGGCTGGGAGCACAAAAGGGGGATCCTGAGTCTCTGCTGCCTGCTTGGGATTGTAGTCATGCTGTCCTGCTGCCATCTGCATCTGGACCGTGCAGTGCTCCCATCCAGGAAGCAACACGTGTTCACTGTGACATGTTCCAGCAGAGCAGGATTTCAAGGAATGATGCTATGGGGGACCCATCTCCCTGTCAGAACCAGAGGTTTTTGTGGACTGCCTGCAACTGCCCTGAGACTCTAATGAGAAGGGGCAGCAGCCAACAAATCACCTCTCTGAGCATTAGTTATCTGCAGCACTGAAGTAAGCTCCCAAATGATGAAAATATGTTAGTGATTTTTGGCCATATGTGCTTTTCCCCAAAAACGAGGCAGAGCCAAATGGCACAGAAATTATGTTTTAATGTACAACACATTTTCATCATTTTTCCCATGTATGCAAAATTCCTTTTCATGGTCATGGCAAAAAACCTTTTTTTTTTGGGGGGTGGGGGGTATTGCAGTTAACTTGGGAAAATGCTGAACCCAAAGAGGGGAGAGTATTTTCCATGGAAGTGTATCAGACCAACTTCCCTTCTCTTAGGGAAGGTGCAGATACATGACTGCATGCTGGGGTCCCCACAGCCCTGATGCAGAGACATCCAGTGCTTGGAATCTTGTTTCACAGGCACCTGAGGGCCGGTGTGACTACAAACAGATGATTGAGAAGCAAAATTGACCTTTTAAATGATCCTTTCAAGAATCCCTCCATGCCTTTATAGCAGGGAAGTCTCCTAATTTACTCAGCTAACATTTGTGCTTGGCAGCTGAGCAAGTCCCCTCTCAAATGGAAAGTGCTGGCTGGTTTGCTGGAGGAAGGGGAACAAAGATGTCAGTGTTTTACCTTGGTGCTCTCCTGGGCATGGGGCAGCTCCACCTCAGGTGCGAGGGTGTGAGTGTCACAGTGGGCCAGGTCATGGCCAGGATGATGCCATGGAGCAGGAGGATTCAGGAGCAGAGAAGGGGACTGCAGGAATGGAACACGGCACTGTATGTCTGCAGTGGGACAGGACATTGCTGCCGTCCTCGGGCCATGGCACTGCTGCCCCCTCAGCCTCACTTAGCAGAGGTGTTGTGCTGGTGAAGGCTGCTGAGGAGTTTTGTTTTTCCCCTCACCCATCTTGTTTTGCAGCTCTTAAGATGACCATAAAGGAAGTGAAGAAGGAGAATGGGGACAAGATGATCATTCCACGGAAGCGGAAGGCACTGAAGCTGGGGCCCATCCGGAAGAAGAACCTGAAGAAGCTGGTGCTGTTCCTAAAAAATGGGGCAGACTGTCCCTGCCATCAGCTGGACAACCTCAGCCACTACTTCCTCATCATGGGCCGCCAGGTGAAGACTCAGTACCTGTTGACAGCCATCTACAAGTGGGACAAGAAGAACAAGGAGTTCAAGAAGTTTATGAAGAAGATGAAATCACCCGACTGCCCGACGTTTCCGTCCGTTTTCAAGTGATGTGGTGGGTGGTGGCAGAGCCACTGTCTGGACCTGCACAGTTGGGTACGGCGGCTCGGTCTCGCTACTCTGCAGCAGGAATGCTGGAGCCAAGCCCTCCTGCTCCTCCATCCTGCTCCTCAGAGCTCCCTCACTGATCTCAGCCCTTCCACATCCCCGCTGCTGGCGTTGGCCTGGTCACCTGGGCATGTGATGTGTGTGCACCAGTCGCTGAGGTCACACACAATTTCTATCTGCATTGTCTAAAGACCTGTTACTGTACAGATCTGTACAACCGTTGAAATAGCAGCTGCCAGGTAAAGAGGGAAAGCAGAGGGGTATGCGCTGATGTTAAGAGCTTGCATGCTTACAGAAAGGACCCTCATGACCATGTCACTCCTGTCTCCATGGCTGCAGGATTGCCCTGAATTCCTGTATGAACCAGAGCTGTCTGATTAGACAGAGATCCCATCTTCATGATCAAAGTTAATAAATGAGTAGTGGAGAACCCGTTACAACCTCTGATAAGAATTCCTAATAGCTAATTGCCCTCACTGTAAAAATATCCCATTATAGTCTTAACCTGCTTAGTTTAAGCCTTAACCGTGGTTCCTTGTGGTGCCTTGATGGGCTGGAGCCCTCCCTCACCAGCATCTCTTGTAATGTCTCCCTGGGTGCCTGCCTTGGCATCTGCTGTGCCAGCTGAGCCTCTTTTGCCCAGTACTGTGCTGCACCCAGGTAGCCTTTGAGTCTCCACACTGTGCCCATTGTGTTGGTGCAGGGGGACATGGGCAGAGGGGACTCTCTGCCTATACTGGTGCCTTTGGCCTTGTGCAGGCCCCTGTCCACAGCAGTGGCCAGCTGAATGCTCTACCCTCGGCCTGCCGTGGCAGTTCCTGTGTGCAAGTGGCCTGAGCTGCTGGTGCCCAGACCTGTCTTTCCATTTCAAGCCCGTGCAAAGGTTCAGTTGCTGGCCTGCCCAGGGCTTTGGCTGGGGGGAGCTCATGGCCAGCTCCTCCAGCTTGTGTCACTCCCTTTTACCAGTGATGTTTTTATAGTTCCTTTAGGCTGCTGGCAAAGTACCAGAGTGCAAAAAGCCAAGGACTTGTCCCTGTGGAATGCCACAGGGAACGTATCGTCTCTGTCTTTCCCTCTTTGCTGTGGGACCCATCAGTCTGGGTTTTTTTCTGTTTGATCTGTGACAGCTTGGCTCTCTATCATTATGTCTTTTTTGCCCTAATCAAAATGTCATGTTTGTATGATTTCAAATAGTTTATGAAAGACAAATATCTTACCCAAATGATTACATTTATCAACCAAGCTGAAATTCATTATTCTGTGAATTGGACTAGTTCTCTTTTTCATAGACCCATACCACTCCATATTCATAATCCTTCTTCCATTTAGTATTCTCATCCATCAACAGTACTCTAAGAGAATGAATATCTGACATCTGAGATAATCCTGTTGTATCACAGTTAAGTGAAATAACATATCCTCATTTTTGAGGTTTGAACCAAACCCCCTCAAAACTAGTAAATTAATTATTCCTTAGCTTGGGAGTGGTGCTTATTCCCCACGTGGGAACAGAGCCACGGACTTGGTTGTAGAAGAATTGTGTTAACAAGCCGAGTACTCTGAGGAATGATGTTTCACAGCTAACAGAGAGATGGATTTAGGATGTGAACTTTGTAGAGTCTCCCTAGGCTGTCTTAGACCACCATTTGTAGTAGTGTTGTTTCTTTATTGCAAAATTAATCATTGTAGATAATGTGCTTTATTAGTGAAGTAAAGAAATAAATAAACCATGGGCTTTAACATCACAGATTGATGAGGTGAAATGATGGAGGGGGCTGTCAAATCCAGCTGTGTGGGGAATGGAGTTAGGACGTGATGAACGGAAAGTCTGGTTATCTGTGAGTGCCCAAAGTGCCCCTAAAAGCCCCACTGGGATGGGGCAGGGACCCTCTGTCCCTGTTGCCTGGCCTTCCTGAGCGCAGCAGAGGGTGGGCTGTGGCAGAGAGACTGCTGCTGCTAAACTTGCCATCGGCTGGCCTAGAGGCTGTTGGTGGTTCCAGGGCATTGCAACAGGCTGTCCAGGGAAGTCCAGGTGGAGTCACCATCCCTGGAGTGCTTCAGGAGATGACTAGATGTGGCACGTTGGTTTAGTTGACGTGGTGGTGCTCAGCCAAGGGGCGGACTCAATGACCTTGGGGGTCTTTTCCAGCCTTATTGATTGCACGATGCCATGGTTGCATGCCCACTGGCATGCAGCAGGTTGCAGGGAGAGCAGGTGCCCTTCCTGGGAAGCTCCTGTTGCTTCAGCCAGCCCTGGCTGCAGCTTGCAGGTGGTTTTAATCAAAGTGATTCTTTTACCCACCTGTTGGGTGAGGCACTGCTGAGAATGTGTTGCAGCCCCAGCTGGTCCTGAGTGCAGGGGAAGGTTTAAGAGCTCAGGGAAAGCAGCAAGTTCTTTCTGCAATGCATTTGGCCTGAGACATTGCCGGCAGCAGTGTTGTCACCACGAGACCAGGTAAGGTCAGTGCTGTGGGGTTGCTGCTTGGGGTCTCCTTTTCCCAGCTCAGAGTTGGTGCCTGGAGCAGTTCAGGGCCTGGGGTGAATCTGCTTTATGTGTCCCTGCATTTCACTACTGGTTCATCTGTGGTCATTCAACAAAGTGAGAACATCAGGTCAGTTTGAAGAGATGCAGGAAGCCAGGCAATCTGTTTGCTGAAAATTTACAGAATCAATTCCTTTACTGACTTCTTGTAACTGGCAACTCCCGAAGTATTTTTTTGGTCGTGTAAAAAGTGAGACTTGCAGTCAAACTGCTGCATGTGACTGCCTTTGCTGTCTTTAAATTTCCTATACTGCTCTCCAACAAGAAAAGTCTACTAAAACCTGAAATGGCCTAACTGTAAGCTGTGGAGAAAGTACCCGAGATCCTGGGTTGTGCTTGTGTGGAGTCGTGTTGAACAAATAGGTGTTTACTGTAACGAGAAAGCGCACAAGTCTCCTTAAATCAGGCACCATGTGTCTGGTGTAGTGCTCCCAGAACACTGCACTGTTTGTGCAGTTGGAGGATGCACTTTACATTTTAAAATGTCAGATGCTGATTGTTATAATGGGTTCTGGTTTAAGTTACAAGCATATGTATAAATGCTCAGTCTAAGACATATTTTATCCTGGGAGACAGCCTCAGTTTGGCCTTGCTGAGGGTTCTGCAGTGTCTGTGGCACAGGGATGCGCCACCTCTGGGACACTCAGGCTTGCTACAGCCTGAACTTGTCTGAAGTATGAACCTTAAATCCTAAAATAAAATATCATCCTTTTGTGACTCAGTTTATCCTCCCAATAATGTTTATCTTCTTTGCTCCAGCATTCTTTCTGTTGAGTTCCACCTGTCTAGCCTCCAGTTTGTAGTTCAGTTACAAACTAAATACAGTTTTCTTTCATGCTATACAAAAAAAATCACCTTCCATCCCTCAGTTAATTTTTTTAATTGCTGGCAGTCTGTGTTTTACTTTGACCATTGCTGGGAAATGTAAGGCTGGGAAGAAAAGCTGAGCAGCTGGAGAGGATTTGTTCTGGAGAAGAGAGGACACCAGCCTGGTGTGGAACTCTGTGAGTGCTGCGCAGGACGAGGGGGTGATGCACAGGAGCTATGCCAGGCTGAAGCTGGCTCATCACTGGCTCACAGGCAGCAGGTCTGGGGTCAGCAGGCAAACATCTGCCATCCAGAGCTGCTGTCCTGCTTTAATGAGCTGTTCCATGAACAGGCATCCCAGGTGTGCAGTGAGCATAGCACAAATAACTAAAAAATAACAGTAAAAATGGAAATAGCAAGCTCCTTCCCTTTGTGGGCAGATGGAGCTGCCTTGGCTGTGACTGCTGCTCTGTGCGGTGCCAGGGGAAGCAGTGGACAGAGCCCCGTGCTCACTGTGGCTATAGATGGGCCCAGCAGTGAGGGGTTGCTGGGTGAACATGAAAGCTGAAAGGTCTCAGCTGAAACATTCTCTAAAGCCACAGTGGAACTCCTCTTTCCCTGCCCCAACACTAGAAACCTTGCAGAGAAAATGCTCCACTGTGTTTCAGAGGCTGCTCCTGCTTTCTCACTGCATCGTGCTGGATGGCCCTTAAAAAGGACACACACACACATAATTAAAGCCACCCTCCACCCCAGGGCCAGAGCTGTGTTTGGAAACTGCTGTTCCCTGGCGCAGAGGCTCTTTTTTCCATCCCAGCCAGGCTCCGCATGCCGCAGTGGCACCGCCAAGGAGAAAGAGCTCTCTCAGACCTAGTGAGGGAAAATGTATCTTCCAGTATCTTTAGCAAGTGCTTTTAAAACCCCTGTTTTGTAAACGAACAGACTTTTTTTATTACTGTTTCTTCTCCAGTGATCCCACCCGAGCCCCTGAGCATGCAGCCTGCTGGACCAAGTTTCTCCCTTTGGGCAGTCTGTAGGTATCCAAGCCATGCTTGAATGTCGTCCTTGGAAGGGGAGTGGAGCAAGCTGGCAGCTCCTCTGCTCCTGGGAGCTTCTCACTGCAGACAGACCCACACGGGGGGCTAGGAGCTCTGCAGCACCTGGCTTCCCAAAGCAAAGCCCCACCCTGGAGAGCCTTGAGGGAGCGAGTACAGGTCAACCTGCCAGGGTGGCCGGCGGTGCCACGGTGGCCTCACAGCCTTGAAACAAATGAGGGCTTTGTTTCAAGAACTCCCCATCAGAGGCTGAAATCCCCTCTGAGGCAGCAGTCTGCCACGAGGATGTTGCCTGCGTGGCAGGAGCAGGGTCTGCCAGTGCCCGCCAGCACCAAGGGAGCCCTGGCTCTGTCTCCGGCCAGCACATTGGAGTGATGAATCTGTCTCCACTTGCCAGTGTGGGGCACGGGCATGCTGCAGCACAGCGGGCTCCTCTCACAGCCTGCCAAGATCCCAAGAGCCACGAGCAGTTGGCAAACAGTCCCTCTTTTCTGAGGAAGTATGCTATGATGGGGAATTCACTGCTGTCTGAAATATTTTTCCTTTAGAGACAACCAGGAGATATTTGCCAAGCCATTCTGTGGAGAGGAGGAGGGAAGGCAGGACATGGCTGGAAGGAGCCACACCTGAGGCAGTTAGCACAGCATTCTTTGGGATCCAGCTCTCTGCTCTTGTTGTGAGGTGCGGGTGAGCTCCATGAGGCTGCCACCAAAACCATTTCTTCTTAACTCAGGCTGAGCCCTGTTGTGCTATTGGCAACCTATGCTGGCACTTCACTCCTCAATCTGACTTTCTCCAAACTCCTGAGTTACTGATGTGGCAGAGAGGCTAATCTGTTGGGAGGTGTGGTATTGTATATGAATAAATTATGGCTCCAGGAGGACAATGGAGTGTGAGCATCTCTGCTATTACTTGGAAAGAAATGAGGAGATCAGGGCATTTGCCTTGGGCAGGCTGATGAGCATGTGTGCTGCCTCTCCTGTATGGGGTTCAGAACTACATTAAACCCTGAAAACAACAAACTGCAGCCCCTTGAGACAAATGTGATGCCTTTAGATTGGTCATCCTCAGGTGGGGGTGATACAGCCAGCCCAGACATCCTCCCCACTTACTGTACAGCAAGGGAAAATATGGATTTGGAAAAGGTTGAGCTACTTGTGGAAGCTCTGAGGTAGTTTAACATATGCGAGGCCACGTGTCCTCTTGCAGGGCTTGTGGAACAGTGATGGTGGCATCGGCTTGGCCAAACTGATGGTGCTGCTGGCATGTTCAAATTTGTATGTTAAATGGTATTTAATAAAATGTTAATATCAGGCTAAATTTTTATCAAAGTTCTGCTCCTGGATTAACACTTGCCAAGAGTTGAGGCATGACTATGTGTGACGCTGTGTAAATGATTAAACCCTGTCCTGCCCAGCTGAATCTGTGCAGCCCCAGCTGCCTGCTCCAGAGTGTTTGCGATTTCTTCACCATTTCATAGTCTTTCATTTGTCCTAAATGTTTGTTTAATAGTCCTGGAAGACCTTTTAAGCTTCCTGGGTTTAATGTTTGCTAAACACCCTGTCACTTCCCCTTGTATTGGTAAGTGCAGCCCCTGTGCTCTGTGGGAGAGGAGAGCTCAGTGCTAACACAGATCTCAAAAGGCAGTGCTGCCCAGGCAGGGTCGCTGGGAGCTGGGGCAGGGGCTCCTCAGCTGGATCATCTCGCCTTAGCACTACCTCAGGTCCTGTGTTCTCCATGGGCCCTGGCAGTATTAGTTTCACAAATTGATTTTCCTGCACAAAAGCTTTTGGTTACTTTGGGATTAGGGACTCTTTAGAGTTCATTGTTTTCCCGAGCTGCCTTGTTTTGCTGTAATGCTGAGACGCCTGGGCTGCAGGAACCTAATCCCCCTCCTCCTCCAGCAGCCCCGCTCTGTGAAAATCTGTTCTCTGCTTAAGTGCAAATTGTTGATGGGAGATAGCAGTGGGTCTTTCTGCTTCCATTTAACGTGTCAGCAGAGAAAGACATCTGCTTGCAATTATGGGCATGGCCTTGCTGAAGGATTGGCCTGGTAGATTTTATAAGGTAATAGGAAATCTTTATCAATTCGTAATTCTTGGTGTCAAAGAAAGGAATATGTTTCATTTAAAATTTTCATCTTTTATTTTACAAAATCATAGGGTAAAACATGAGATTGATATCAAGGGAAGAATCCATGTGCTCTCTGTGAAGAGTGAGTCCCATCAGAAGTGAGATTTCCCATGCAGAAGGCTCTGAGCAGGTGAGGGCCAGTCTGGGGAGTGACTGGGCTCTGCTGTTGGTCCTTCACTGTCCTCAGCGATGGGCCCACAGAGGCAAA